CGACATGGCGCCCAACGTGGGGCTCGATTCGAACTTCCGATGTCTCCACCGAGGGCCCATGTCAATATGGTCGGTCCCAACGATCATGCTTCACGACAACAGAATCTTTATAAATTTATTTCATCCAAAGAAAACAAAAATACATATCGTTCCCTTGAAGAAACAATAACACTAAAATAAAATAAAATTATAACAAAACGAAACTTTACTCGATAAAAACAAACTTTTGTTAAAAAATAAAATGATATAGGTTAAATCACAGAGTAAACTAAAGTTTAAAGATGTGAAAACGGTACATTTCAGTCAACGAACAAATCCTATTACAGTTTTCTGTCAACCTATAACAATTTTCTATAGATTCTATTACAAATTATTTAAGCTCTGTAACAACACTGCAGTCCATGACCAGTCCAAAAGTTTATTTAGTCTATGGTGTCATGTCATTACGGCAATCAAATATGTATTTTTATTAAATTTTAAGTACTTGTTTATAAATTACTCTATATAAATTCAAAATTGTAGTGAAATGGGTTCAAAAGCAAAAATTGACTTTACAGAAGAAGATCTGGCAAAATATGACTGGATTACATTACGAAAAGATATGGATAATTTACTCCCTACCGAGACTTTTACACAAAAATTTTATCGAAAATTTTTAGAGAATCCTTTTGTTCCAATAGGTAAATAAAACATACAATATTAGTAGGAGAGAAGAGAAATATTGTGATTTTATATTTATAATTAATTTATAGTTCTGAAAATATCTAAATTTATAAATCGACTTAATGAAAGCATGAAACGTAATTTATTTCAAAGTGAAAGTATCTTTTACATTAATTAGTAAAATATATTAGTGTTGCAGTTGATCTCTGTACTTGATGCAGTTGATTTCTGCACTTGTAAATTTTTATTTCATTTAGTTTATATGTATGTGTTGCAAAAATTGAACAAGTGAAAGGATTGTTAGACAAATGCAATACTTTAATAATTAGTCACAAGGAAAAAAAAAAGAAAAGATAATTTTGTGTTGTTTTATTTAAGTATGTATATTTCCTCGTATTTTTCATATTTCAGAAATTATTAGAATGAAAGAAAATAGAATTTTGCATACTGTTTTTAAGTCAACAATCAGTTCAAAATTTTAAAATCTTTAAGGAAATTTTATAATGGAAAATATATCGCAAATTATCACTTCCATTCTTTAAAAATGTACTTAATATTATTTTTATAAAGTTAGTAAATACGAAAAATGTCTTGTTTACAAAATACGTTTAGAATTTAGTTAATAAACTTTCTTTTCTGACAAATGTTTATAATAAGAAGTCATTAATTAAGTTTTACCCTTAGGTTGTTTAGCAACAACACTAGCACTAAGTTATGGTTTGTGGAGCTTTAGAAATGGAAAGAAAAAAATGTCACAGTACATGATGAGAACGAGAGTTGTGGCTCAAGGATTTACTGTGCTCGCTCTGGTAGTAGGTGTCAGCATGGGAGCACAAAAAAATGCAAAAAAACTTTAGCTTTTACAGTAACATTAACATAGTGTTAATAACAGTAAAACTACAGTAGTGACATTATTAAATAGTTATAGAGTGAAATACATAAATTGATGAAAAAGAAAATATTTTTAAAGACCGTATACCTTTAACTAAGAGTTATCAATTTTGCTATGTATAAATGCACTAGTGTGCTTTTTTTAGAATCCATTTTTCAGTAATGATTGCTACAGAAATGTATTAATCTTTTGGAATTTTTTTGTAAGGGCTGGGTACAGAGCAAGAGGCAAGGCAAAAACTGAATGAACATATAAATATAAACACTACTTGAGGTGCTGCAAACTGCCTTGATCTGAGGTCAAGGTCCCTGCTGGAATGCTATTCTGCCTCGTTTTCAAGTGTCTCATGGCTGGAATCAATTTTGGTAAAAAAAAGTTACTGCTTTCTTTTCCATATAAAACAAGATCTAATTTTGTAGATTCTAGTCATCAAGTAATGTCTGCATTTCTTTTCAGTAAGCTAGAATAACCACAATGTACTATTTACCATATTTAGGTACTTTTGTTTCAACATATTTTTTCAGTGATAAATAAAATTTGAAGTATGAACCAATCACTGTATTGTTTCTTCAGATAAATCCACTTGCAACAAAAAATCCAACAGAAAAGGCATCTGTTCTGCCTGTTTTTGCCTTGGTCCCTTTTTCCCAGAAGTATATATCAAGGCAGAATCTGAACTAAAACTGTCCAATGAATCAAATTCTTTTAACATTTTCACTACAACAATTAATTAACATCCTATTATTGAGTGCAGAGTAAATTTTTGTCCACTTATATTAGGACGGTTATAACCTAGATTGATGATCATTAGTGTTTTTTTTCTAAGGTGCATATGTGCTTTGTCCCTATATTTACATGAAATTATTAGTGACCAGTTAGGGGTCTAAGTTTGACACCACATGGTTATATACAGGGTGTATTTAAATGGAGGGGCACAAATGATAACAGAGATTCCTTGGGTGAAAATAAGTCGATTTAACCTAACATACCTATATCCCAAGTCGCATAATAAAAAAGCTACAGGGTGTTAAAGTGAAAAATAAAAAATGGTTTTTCTTTAATAATTTCTATAATTTTAGTTAGAAATGTTTCAAATTTTCAACAGAGAGGTTTTTTAATGATGGGAAAAATAATATAATAATGATTTTTGAGTGTCGAGTACGAAGCGCCCTCTGCAGGCAACGTTATGCATTAAATACGTAGTAACTTTTTTGCCAACCCCCGTATACAGCTTTTAGTAACAAAATATGAAATAGTGGACCTTTTTGAATAAAAAAGGTATACTTAGTTAAAATGGGTACAGCCAACCGTTGAGGAAATATTTTTAATTTCATAAATTAGTGTTACAGATTTATACCAAGGTTCGAGTTGCTTAAATAAATTAAAAAATCGAGTAGGTAAATGTCATTTGATTTGAAGTATTAGTTTAAAGTGTTAATTGATTTTAGTCACTATTTACCTGCGTCCTAGATATTAAATAGTTTTGAAATTGAGTAAAATAACAAATTATGTATACCAATGACGAGTATGTCGATATGTTGCAAGTATTTTTTGAATGTTACAAGAACTGTGCTGCTGCTGTACGACTTTATCATGCCAGATATCCCAATCGTCGTCTTCCTGCTAGAAAAACTTTTGCGGCGGTAGAAAGAAGACTTCGAGGAAACGGACACATTCAACCTCGTCCTGAAGGTACTGGCAGAAGACGTCTTATTCGCGATGTAGAACTTGAAGTTGTCCTTGGCAATTTACAAGGTCAGAATTCTGAAACTAGTACCAGAAAAATGGCGACACAGTATAACGTTTCACATACTACAATTTGGAAAATTGCGAATGATAATCTTTTATACCCCTACCATCTACAACCCGTGCAGGAATTGACTGCTGCGGATTTACCTAACAGGATAGATTTTTGTCAATGGTATACGAACGTTTCAAGGGAAAACAGAAATATTTTATCCAGTATTTTGTTTGGTGATGAAGCGTCATTTCAAAGACATGGTTTAGTGAACCATCACAATAATCACTCATGGTCTGACGAAAATTCTCACAAAGTTTGTACATCCAAATTTCAACATAATTTTAGTTTAAATGTATGGGCAGGAATCGTAGGAGATTATCTTATTGGTCCGTTTATTCTTCCTCGGCGTCTTGGCGGAGTCGAATATTTGAGATTTTTAAATGAGCAACTTCTAATATTGCTTGAAGACGTGCCACTAGCTATCCGTGAAAACATGTGGTACGCGCATGACGGAGCTCCTGCTCATAGTACATTAGCCGTTACACAATGGACTATTTTTTATGGGGTCACTTAAAAAATGTTGTTTATTCCAACCCTATTGATAGTGTGGAGATGCTTCGTCAAAGAATTTTTGCAGCAGCTGAGGAAGTAAAGAATGACATACATATTTTTTCAAGAGTTCGTCGTAATTTTATCGTAGAATTAGACTATGCTTACAGGAAAATGGATATTACTTCGAAAATATCCTTTAAAAAATCTTGTTTTTTTTACTGTCAGCCAATTGTTTTTTTTTTTAATTATTATCTATTGACTGTTAAGTGACTCTTGGTTTTAGTTGTTCTGCTCTTTTTTTCTAATAATTATTATTAAACTAACAATAAATAAATATTTTTCAATATTCTTTCACCTAACTGTTATTTCATATGAGACTTCTTTAATGCAAGGTTTAAATAATTTCACATGCACAATAAAATGTCTTTTTTAATAAAGACACCAAAAAAACAATTAAATAGAAATTATGTAACAAGCGTATTCAAACATGCTAAAATAATACGCAAAAAGAGTAAAGTAAATTTAAAACAGGAAAAATAATGTCTCAGTTGATTCCTGCGCCCCTTTTGGTCGAATTTTAAAATACATATACACAACTAATAAGTACTGTGATGCAATGCGTTCTGAATTTATTAACAAAAGTGTCTCTTTGTACCTTGGTATTCGTGGAGGTATAAATCCATAAAACTAATTTATGAAATTAAAAATATTTCCTCAACGGTTGGCTTTAGCCATTTTCAATAAGTATACCTTTTTTGTTCAAAAAAGTCCAATATTTCATATTTTGTTATTAAAAGCTGTATACGGGGGTTGGCAAAAAAGTTACTACATATTCAATGCATAACGTTGCCTGTAGAGGGCGCCTCGTACTCGAGATTCAAAAATTATTATTATATTATTTTTCCCATCATTAAAAAACCTCTCTGTTGAAAATTTGAAACATTTCTGACTAAAATTATAGAAATTATTAAGGAAAAACCATTTTTTATTTTTTATTTTGACACCCTGTATCTTTTTTAATATGCGACTTGGGATATAGGTATGTTAGGTTAAATCGACTTATTTTCACTCAAGGAATCTCTGGTATCATTTGTGCCCCTCCATTTAAATACACCCTGTATATTATAAAATTTTGGTTTTTGAAACAATAATTAAAACAATTAGTACCTTTAAGGGCAGTAACAACTGGAGCTTATTCTTTACAAATTATTTTATGTATTTATTTATTCAACTTTCTCAAGCTGAAAAATCTTTGAAAAAGTTAGTTATACTTTAATACAAACACGCTAAAATCTTTAAAAAAAATTACAAAATTTTTTTTTTAAACTAAACACAAGGTAAAGTGTTCAACATGAGCTTCCCGTATGTCAGTACACTTTCTTATTCTATGTATATGTTTTCCTGGTGCATTTGAAAAGATATTCCCGGTTTGTTTGATAAATTATTGTGCACTAAACGCTCAAAATGAGATGAGTATTATCGTACTTGTAGGTTATTCTGTTGGTAAATACTTTAAACTTGTTTCTCTTAAGTTACTATCCTTTCAAAGATTTTTGGATTTTAACTAAATGTATAAAATAATATGTAAACACATAGACCCTATTCAGGGTCTGCGCCAGGGTATTTGGCACCTGAAGCAAATATTTGTTTGCCGCTCTAAGAAAAGATGTATACAAGTTACTACTGTTGGAACAAATAACAAATGTATTAATAAAAAGTTATGAAAAATAAAAAAAACATTTCAATAGACAAACATACAAACAAATTATAAGAAACATCCTATAAAAAATAAAACAGATAATAAAACCAAAAATAAAAAATATTCAATAAAAACAAAAAAGAAAATAATGTCAAAACGGGATCTTTATCACACATCACATAATAGTCCAATTAACTAAGCCTTTAAATCGAAATTTTGCCAACTTGGCTGAATTTTTGATATGAGTTAGTTTAAGGTATATTATAACAATAAGTGAGAGTAATTTTTTGTTCAACCCCCGGCCAAGGGTGGAAAAAGATAAAACAAAGGGCTTTTTCAAGATAACTCAAAAAGGGTAAGAGCTAGAAAAAAAAGTTTTTCATGAAAGTTGTAAAGCAGACAATTCTACATAAAAATGGCCTCTTAACTTTTTCTTGTACTATTACAATTAACAGAGTTAGGGAGGCTAGAAGTTAAGGGAAGATTTCAGAAATTTAAAAAAAATCATAACAAACAGAAAAATGATTGAATTTTGTATTTTTTTTTTCAATCTGCTCTAAAATATGTAACTTTTCTTTTCAGAGAAATAGATACATTTTTTAATTTTTAATAAGAAAGTTATAACAAAAAATCAAATTTTTAATCGTTAATTTTAATGATTTAACAAAATTAAATTTCTGAAATCTTCCCTTAACTTCTAGCCTCCCTAACTCTGTTAATTTTAATAGTACAAGAAAAAGCTAAGAGACCATTTTTATGTAGAATTGTCTGCTTTACAACTTTCATTCTAGCTCTTACCCTTTTTGAGTTATCTTGAAAAAGCCCTTTGTTTTATCTTTTTCCACCCTTGGCCGGGGGTTGAACAAAAAATTACTCTCACTTATTGTTATAATATACCTTAAACTAACTCATATCAAAAATTCAGCCAAGTTGACAAAATTTCGATTTAAAGGCTTAGTTAATTGGACTAAATATCACATATCAACTTTTCTACATTTTTCATTAACAAAGTCTTCAGTAATATCATCGTAAACCAAATTATTTGTTAGGTGTATATCTTTCTCGATAGCAAGAATGGCTAAGACTGTTAACTGTTCCTGCGCTATGGTTGATCATAAATATTTTTTATTTTGAAAAAGAACGTTCTGCATTGGCGACAGGCACAGGAATAAAGCACGCATTCGGGGTTGAAAATTATTTTTTTCAGATTTTTGGTCAATTTTCAATTTCTGAAATTTATAAAAAGTTAATAATCAAGTCTTAGATTTTCATTATTGAATAGGATATCATAAGTTTTCACACATTTGATTCAATTTATTTCATGAACTAATAACTTTACAGCTTAGCTACTGAGGATCTATTTTATAACAAATTTAATTTCCTATAAAAATATCAATAAAAATTAAAAAACAACTTTTAAGATTTTTTAACAGTGAAACCGTTGAAGTCGCGTAGATCCTACTATGAGCACTTTTAAATAACAGATTCCCCAATAATTATTGCCTATGGACAATAAAATAATACGAAATGCAGCTGATTGTGAGATATAGATAATTTAAAGAATGATCATAAGTATAACGAGTTAAATAAATAGAAATATTTTAAAATTAAATAACAAGTACTAAAGATTAAAATTAAGCGCTGAAATTTGGTGAGAATATTCTTTCCAATGTTTTAAACAATATTCCGTCAATCGAGCAAAAGAAAATATGATGTACCTATGTTTCAAAGAAGCATCTTATACATACATATATTAGGCCAAAATTTTATTTCAATATACTAGCTATTTTCAAATTTAATAGGTACCCAAAATGTCAATCCTCTTTGTGGTAAAATGTTAGGAAGCACAAAAGGAGAACAGTTTTATATGAAATACTCATTTTGACTTTCCTTATATGCTCTCAAGAGATTAGTTCATACTTACCTACCTGACACTTGCTGAAATATAGGGGCATAAAAACAATGTATCCCAACTAAAACTGATTTACCGCAAATTTACTTTATATTCAACTGGTTCTTAAGGGGATATCGAGATATATTTGTATTTTATTTTTCTAATTTATATTAAATAGTAATCAATGACACCTTTTTAATAATAATTTTGTAATTTGTAAAATTTATAGCTTTTCAAATGCAACGTTACGAGATAATTAGCTAATGTAGAGATCTTTAATATCTCATGAGCCGCGAAATGCGCGAAAGGCGTGGCGTATCCCCATAATTCTTCTAATAAGCACGTTGTGAAAACATTGACTCAGAATTAGAACACGTGCCTCATTACAACTAGAAATGAACTAAGGCGCTCGGCCATCAATAAAGTCAACTGGCGAACGTTCGTTATATATATTTTTATTGTTTAAATTAAAATAATAAAGAATAGGGCATTTTATTATGATATTTGTAATCGGATCAAAGGCTTGTTTACGCTAGAGCTCGAGAGAGACTGTGAATAATAGGTGTAATGTTTTTAGGACGTAGAATAATTTAGGCGACGGTCGGAATTATGTTTCTGCGCATATGAAGGTCAAAGCTCATAAGATTTTAAAACATCTCTACATATTTAGGTTAACTTTGTCAAAGTCTAAAAACCGTTCAAAAGGTTGATTACAGCGTAAAGGAAATATGTCAAAAATTAAAAGTAAACATTTAGGTAGGTAATACTAAGAGAGAAAGGTAAATATCACTTCGACATCTATTGAAAATCGGCACTCCATACAGTTTTTTTCTTTGACAAATATTTGAATATATACACGTGAAACAACATTACAAGATTATTACACATCTAATTACAGTCCTGTTATTCTCAGATACAGTTTTCTAGTAATTATAGGTGTCATAGTTCTTTTGTATAAATCCACAGAAAAAAGTTTAACGTCTTGGCAAACCCAAAGATTATGGAGAGGAAAGATAGGAAGAGCATATATAAAGCCACCACAGAAATAACAACTATAAAATTAGTAACAAATAAACAGTTGAAACGTTAGAAGATGTTGTTACGGGCTTATTTTTTTCTGACCCTTTTATTTAAATTTGTATTAGTCCCTATCAAAAATAGCTAGGTAATCATAAAACCACAATGGAATTGCAATCCCTCAACCACAAATGAAAAATTTAAATTAGGGTATTCAAGTATTTATTTTAAACAAATATTATGGTATGGTTTAACTTGTTATATTTTTCGCAAAATATTTCAATTTGTTCATTAAATTATCGTCGGTAGGTAAATATAAAGTTCCCTGTCGATATACGGCCAAACAACCTTTTTCTTTTTTTTTTTTGGTCTCGGGCATTTCTTACTTCCCCATGCTCTAGATAAATTTAGTGACAAAGATCTCTTTTAAGAGAATTGTCGATTTGGCAGCGTGTGTTCTCGTTACGATAAATATCGCTTTCTTGCTGCATTTTGTGGGCGAAAATTTGTTTTGTTAGTTCTGATGAATCCAGTGTCAACTGTGTTGGTTGTTATGGTCAATCCGACATAAGGTACCGTTCACCTCGAGGCCGCCCTACCCCACCGGGAAACCTACCCGGGTGTTTTCCTATTTCACCCTCATATACCGGGTGATTCATTGCCATTGGAAGTCCAGGGTATCGAACGCCTAGACCTTGGTTAAACAACGCAGGCTTACTCCTCGCTTTCGCTGGATTATTATCTGCACTGGAGAGCAGTGTCACTATACAAGACTCGTCTTACATAACTCCCAGTTGCTGCCTGGCTTCATATCCTTTTGTGGCTGCTTTTGTATGGTTGGACTAGTAAATCTTCACCTGCATAATCATTGAAATCTGTTACTGGTGCTGCAGAAACCGTTCAGATAAGCCTAATTTTAAGTTATGCATGTCACATTATTTATTGTAGTTAATCCCTGTCCTTGTATGATCTGGCTTGCTCCCATATAGTATATATATTTTACTCTATCTTTTTTTTTTCGGAAATTTAACTTACATGGTAGCAATTATCACCGCCTATCTTGCTTATTCCATTCCGCTACCAGATAATTACTTTACTCAACTTATTAGATATTATTACTTAGTACTTACCCCAGCAGTTTTTTTTTGTTATTTAACTTGGCGTACTGTTAGGTAACTTATTAGTTAATTTGTTAATAAGGTACATACATTATTTATTTACAATTTTTGCTATTACTCGTGTTATATTTACGTGTTTTTTCTTTTTCTTTTTACTAAATCTTAAATCTTATCTTATTCACACTCATTAATTGGCTTAAGCTGTCGAGGTATAATAAATAAATAAATAAAATATTTTTGCAACATGTCATTTTTAACCATCATATATAAAAGTCCTTTTCTAGGAAATCATATTTTCTATAATGTTGACACCATGGAAACTAAGAACACACACATCAAAACAAGGCGATTTGTTACTTAAACTTATACAATAAGGTAATAAATGCAATAAACTTTTATAAGAAAATACTTTGTCTTTAGGCAAACTTAATATCGTTGAATGGCATTGACATACCACATGTAATCTCTTGTATAGTATAGTTTTTGACGGTACTTTCCATTCAGATACTCACTGCTTATCTCTCAGCTTTTAATCTGCTATAAAAGGGATTGGATCGAGTACAGTGGATTGAAATTTTAGAAATGAACATTAAAATTTCTGTCCAATCAAGGTTCCCATTGGATTAGATTGGGAAATATAAATACATATATTTCCTAGATTTCAATCCACTGTACTCAACCTATCCCTTTCCGAGCAGATTGAAACCTGCGATATAAAGATTGTCACTGACTCTGTGAAGTTTGATGTAGAGCCATTTCTGAAAGACGATGAATGTGTTTTTGATGGAGATGTTACATTTAACTCTACCGTTTTAGCAATGTCATCTTTTACAAACTGCACTGGTTCTGTCTGTACTGCTTTCGTGGTTACTACCGGACAAACTTGAATTTTTTTGTCAGTTATTTTTTGCACTGAGACAGCAAATACAGAATTACTCGACTTCCTTTCATATGATGTGGTAAACATATTTTTGTTTGACAAATTGGAGGAGTTGAAATATATTTTGTTTCGTTTGGCTTCATATTCTGCTATATTTTCCATTTTCCTTTTCTTTTCTGAATTACTTAGTTGTGAATAATCTTTTGGCACTCGACATTCAGTTAAATTTTTATGAGGGACTGTACACTTTTTCATTTTTATCTTGGATCTGAATAATTTATAAGCACTCCAATTTTCACAGTCTTCATGCATCTAAAATACACAATATTAAAATGATAATAAAGAAAAAAGTTATCAAAATATCCTACATTAAAATGATCTTCACAGCAGTAATATCCTGTTGTGTTTTTTGGGATCTTTCTTCCACATATATTAAACCATTCTGCACAAGAGTTCTTATTGCTAGGTGCATGAATAAATATTTTTACTGAATTTAAAGAGTTATTTTTACATTTAGGCACAAGACAACTTTTAAATCTCACAGACATATTTAACCTATAAAACAAACAGGCAGTTATGAAAATAACATTAAATCAAATTTTAATACTGTCCACTAAATAAAGTATCAGTTATTAAATTAAAAACATAACATTCCAGACGTGTGAAGATTTTAGTGATGAAAAAACTGAAAAATATGTCAAAATTCAAAATACATATTTCAGAGGTTATTCATCGTTCATCTTAGAGCATTCAACATGGAGGAAGTACCACGTGTTAAAAAGTGTAGACGCTGTAGAGAGAAAGCGGGACAGTGTGGGTTCTCGCTCTCTTTCTCTTAATTTTATTTTAATATCACCAGGGAGTTGTGTTAGCCAATGACATGCATGCACGAGAGAGAAAGATAGTGGTCAAACTATCTATCACTCATCTACACTTTTTTCGCGACTGAATATTGGTGAATATCTGACTTGTAATTACTATTTCATTTCTATCTCTTGATCTTAGTTGTCATATTATGCTAGATTAAATCTTGTCATCCACTCCGTAGTAGGATCATATTCGATGCAAAGTAATAAATCATTGCTTGTCAAGGGATCCAGTGCAATACTGTTTTAAGGGGTTTAGAAATTGAATAATTTCTTTATGCATTATGAAGGGATGAAGGGATCAGTTCACGTCTGGCAAGGGTGCTACAAAAATTCCTTTATTCTCATAAACTATTTACTTTAAATGTAATTTATTATAAATACAGTTTGTTTTTTTAAATTCCACATATGTACTACATTTTACCTCTGTACGCGCCACTGTTGTTTACTTGTTTTTAAATGCAAATAACTCAGTAACCGATAAAGTTAGGTGACCTAAACAAGAGTACATTTTTCATGTAGAATTGAACGTTCTTTTAGATTTTTTTTAAGCATAGCTCAACAAATAAAAAAATATGTTTTGATTTACTTAAATAATACGGCGAAATTAGCGCCCTCTAGGAGCAACGTCAAAATAAGCTCCAAATTCGTAATTCTCACACCAAAAAACCCAATACTACCAATTGAATATGAACACCTCATATTTCGTAAACCAGTGATATTCGTATAAGGCATGATAAGCTCAAACATAATATTTTGGTGTCTAATATCTCCAGTTTAGTGTTGACCCATGCTTTTTGACTCACCCTGTAGAATTATACCTAAATTATAAAATTTATACAAAATTAATAGTAAGTATATTACACCACAAGGGTCGAAAGTTGAATTTTCGGCCTTGCGCGTCATGATGCCAGAGGCGAAGCCGAGGGCATTATGACGAGCAGGACTGAGATTTCAACTTTTGGCCCGTGTAGTGTTAAGATTTTTCTTCATAGCCGGTTGAAAGTACGTTATTAATTTTACTTTTTTTTAACTTTAAATGTTGATAAGCATTTGTACTTATTATCAATCGCGCTTCTGCATCGAAATTTCGTATAACATCTTCTTCGTCTATGGATTCATCAGATGACAACGTATTGTTCATTTTTGCTGGGTTATTGAATTGACTTTTAGAGGTAGCAACAGTAATGGCAGCGGTTAACAATTTGTTATAGCGACATAATAAATAGTCCCTAGTTACGAGTATAAATACGCATTCTTTCCTCCCGCCGTTATAGAGGGCGCGTGTGTATTTCTCACAGAGAGTAAATGTTAAACTTTCGTCCCTGCTATTAGGGACGAAAGTACGTACTTTCGACCGAGATATGAAGAAAAAATTATTTTAAATTGCATGCACAACCAAACGAAAATTTTAGGTGAACCGGTGCGTCACTTGCGTCATCTGGCGAGCCGCCACTGGACTATTGTAAATTAAATACGCTCATAGGGGTTATATCATTTTAGAACCTATTCGTGGGTGGTAGGACGGAAGTACTTTGGCTAGGATCAATGTGAAAAATTGACAATAATTTGTTTCATTCTGAATGGTGGTTAAGGTTCATCAACGTATGTCGTTCATGGGTGTAAATGCAGACTATTGAATAATAATACTCTCAGAACATATTTTTATATCACCAATACTGTAATAATATTATATAGATTTTTCTAATAAAAAAATCGATAGTAAGTAAATAATTTAAGTTTTACACATACATTTATTAATTTTTAGCTGTTAGGAAAACACTTGAGTTTAAAGATTTTAAACAAAATTACGTTTATTTAATGTTCTCCGAACTTTAGGAAGGGTCTTTCATAAATACATACAGGGTGTTTATAAAGTATAAGTAAAAAATAAGGGTTTTTTGTTATACTATAAATGTGTGGTGTCTTAGGACAGCCATTGCCCAGCTACAACGTGTCAAAAATCAGTTTTTAATTTTAAATTTCTAAACCGCTTCAAATAATTTATTCAAATTCGGTGTGCATATTTAGTATGACAGTAGGTATGAAACACAAAATTATTAGCTTTAGATACTTTCCAGTGGCGGAGGGGTGGGTAACATCGATCATTATTTGCCAAAAAAAGTCACCCTGTATAATATTAGAAATAATATAGGTCATCATATGCGTCATTGTATTATCTTCACTTTTTGTTTCTTTCCACTTTTTTATATTCCATACCGATTAACAACAAAATTGATTTATACGATCAAGTGCATTTTTACGATACATTAATTAAAATAATAACAAAATAATTAATTAACAATGAAATTACTTTTCTATGATTTATTATAACAAATGTTGGGAATGGCTACCTGCAACCAAAATACATGCTTCGCAGATCTTCTTGAAATTGCAGCTCGAACACGTGCAAAAATTTCAGGAGTAGCTGTTATCACATCACAACCAGCTATAATTGTAAGATTCGATCGACTTACCTGTAAGGAAGATCAATCTCAATTATTTGAGCATCGTAGTTCTTCTATGATTCAAGTTGGTAGGTCTCACTTATACATGACGCGCGCATAGGTTTAAAGGAAAAAAGTGTTTCGTAACAGTCCGTTACTACTTATTGATAGCCAGCCAGTTCATTTTGTGACCGAACCAATCGCGCTGTGGGTAAAAAAAAGAGTGGCGGGTGGGCCCCATCATAGAAGAACTGCGATGCTCAAATAATTGAGATTGATCTTCCTTACAGGTAAGTCGATCGAATCTTACAATTNTGCTCAAATAATCGAGATTGATCTTCCTTACAGGTAAGTCGATCGAATCTTACAATTATTTTTCGCATCTCCGTTCTTCTATGTTTCAAGTAGGTAGATGTTTAAAGTAAACAATTTGCGCGATTAAGTGCAGTCAAAAAAGTTTCTAAATTATGCACTATTTTATAGTTTTATGATAAAAGTTTCTCAAGTAAAATAAGACGTACTTATATTTGATCAAATTATGACAATCGGAAGAATTAGTGGCTTCTTCTGCTTACTGTTTTCATATTTGATCTAAATTAGTTTTTAAAACAAACATTTTATTTTTTTTCAGTTTTCCTTTATTATTGACCATATATCACTTATTATGTATCATACATTATATATTATATATTACATATCAAATACCATATACCATACACCATATACCACATTCTATATATCATATAGACTATACTATATATCATATATTATATACATATATACAGGTATTATACCTGTATATACACATATTTTGTTATGCCTAGGCCAACATTTTCGTTTCGAAGAACAATGTTGTAATAATGCACAATTCCGGTCCATTTTATAATAAAGAAAATATTAGAAAAATACAGTTTTTTACTATAGAGTTCGACAAAAGATCTTTCTGAAATTTCACTTTCAGTTATCATTTTGATTTGAAACTGTTATATTTTCCAAATTGTTTATACTCCATTACTCCATCTGCTTACGCAAAAGTAAGAAGTGAAATTAATTTAGGTTTTATATCTTTTTACAAATGGTAGCATTTTCAAAAAATATATTTTTCATAAAAGAAGTAGAACCAGGTTACGATTTCAAGTCACGGAATACTTGCTATAGGTTTTAGCAATAACCTTAATTTATAGGATACTTTTAGTAATTATTAAGTTCGGAATAAGAGTCTCACTTTTCAAACAAAGTATAATAATGTTTTAAATTCTTTTATGTAAATACACCAATCCTATATTTATATTTGGTAGCAAATATAATGTCCTTTTTTTTTCTATTTCTATATCGACCGAAAATTTTGGTGATATCGATGCTTTATTGTGGTCTCCAAATGGGAGAAGTAAACCAAAGCAATTCATAAAGAAAAATAAATATATTTACATATGTATACATTCTTTTTTTTGTTTGGTTTATGGAACATTAGAAATCGTCGCTCCTTTGACAATTTGGTAATGTGGAGGTACTTGTAACTTTTTAGGTTTTGACTGAAGACTGGCGTAAAGTACAGATTATACAGACACGAGGATACATTCTTTGATACTATGAATGCTTAATGGTGATAAATCACAAATCCCTGAGGATAGAATTTTTATCACCTCACGACATCAGAAAGATTATAGCCATTAGTCTGTACTAACGTTAGCCCTACTAAACTTTGCTACTAACAGCATGCACAATGCGTCACAAGACCTGAAGGAAGCAGATTGCAGCATCGCTTTTTTCTTAATGATGGTGACTGCGCATGCTCAGGTACTCATGGCATAAAGAGGGTGCAACATTTAACCCCTTTCTATATAAATATTATTACAGAAAAAGGGAAGCAATAAGTTTACATTTTCAAGGTAATTTAGATAAAGTACCATTGGTCAATAAAATAACTGTAGCTATTTGAAACGTTTTGAATTTCGTCTTGATATTTTGTTTCAGAAACATCAGTCAAACAACTATTATGACCGAAATTTTTACTTTGGACTTTAATTCAAATTCAAGTCAATGTATAGTCCACTGACATAATAGCTATAAGACACATATAAATGTAGTTATCTATTTCGTGATATTTGATGTATACTTGTTATATAAGTGTGATATTAATTGTTGCTTTGATTTGTGAAAGCCAAATTTTTCTTTGATTCATAGCCCATAAGAACATAACTATAAAGTTACAGTATGTTGAATAAACATTCTTAAAGGAAGCCTTTTTTTACAACTTTGTCTCTGAATGGCATTGGTATATGGGTTACTAATTGAATACCTCTTCCAAGTAAGATGCAGTTTTGCCAGTTTTTGCTATATTCATTTTACTAATTGGTTTAATATGTCCATGGCAAATTAGATTA